GACATCTGAGCCTCAAAGGGCCGAGATGAAAGATTGGAGGGGCTGGAAAGCTTTTTAAAGTCAACTGCGGATATACGAGAGACCATTAGATGACACATTATGAGGACTTAAGGCCACGCTCCAGTCAGCCGTGAAAATGTCGCATTTAAAGGTACGCTTTGGCCAAGGAGAACATTTTGAAGTACTTTCGGAAACACGGCCTGACTGTCCATGTCGTCTGCTTCTCATCCAGGCCATGTTTCTGGGCCACCACTCGAAAAATGAAATTTTTCAACGCCTATTACTTACCTCTCTTGTGGGTCCCCTCTTCTCTCTCTTCTTCTACGACCACCAACAGAACCTTCAGGTTAGAGACTTCCAGGTACGTCAAGTATCTGGTCCCCGTTGTGTGTTGTGGTCCCTCCCAGCCGTGAAAATGTTATTATCATTATTATTATACAGGATTTATGGCGCCAACAGTGTGCTCAGCGCTGTACAATATAACGGGAGACAATACAGCAACAATACAGATCAATACAAGAGGGTTAGGAGGGCCTGATCCTGGGAGCTTACAATCTAAGAGGGAGGGGCTGATCCCGGGAGCTTACAATCTAAGAGGGAGGGGTTAGTGGTACAAAAGGTAGTAACTGTGGGGGATGGACTGGTAGGAAGAGTAGAAGATTCCAGTATTAGCTGAGGGCAGGATAGGCTTCCCTGAAGAGATCGGTTTTCAGAGATTGCCTAATAGTGGGCAGAGTAGGCGATAGCCTGATAAATTGGGGTAGAGAGTTCCAGAGGATGGGGGAAGCTCTGGAGAAGTCCTGGAGACGAGCATGGGAGGAGGAGACAAGGGAGCTAGAAATCAGGAGGTCTTGCGAGGAGCGGAGAGTACGGTTTGGGTGATATTTGGAGACAAGATCGGTGATGTAATTTGGCGCGGAGTTATAAATGGCTTTATACATTATTGTTAGTGTTTTGAATTTTATCCATTGGGCAACGGGAAGCCAGTGGAGGGATTGGCAGAGAGGGGTGGAGGACACTGAGTGGAGGCCAGTGGAGGGATTGGCAGAGAGGGGTGGAGGACACTGAATGGAGGCCAGTGGAGGGATCGGCAGAGAGGGGTGGAGGACACTGAATGGAGGCCAGTGGAGGGATTGGCAGAGAGGGGTGGAGGACACTGAATGGAGGCCAGTGGAGGGATTGGCAGAGAGGGGTGGAGGACACTGAGTGGAGGCCAGTGGAGGGATTGGCAGAGAGGGGTGGAGGACACTAAGTGGAGGCCAGTGGAGGAATTGGCAGAGAGGGAAGGAGGGAACTGAGTGGAGGCCAGTGGAGGGATTGGTAGAGGGGGGGGTGGCAGATATAGAACAGTTAGTAAGGTGGATGAGTCTGGCAGCAGCATTCATGATGACTGAAGAGGGGATAGCCTGCGATGAGGTCGGCCAATGAGGAGGGAGTTACAATCGTTGAGGCGAGATATAACAAGGGAGTGAATAAGTTGCTTAGTGGTTTCTGAGGTTAGGAACGGGCGTATCTTGGAGATGTTGCGGAGGTTGGAGATGTTGCGGAGGTTGGAGATGTTGCGGAGGTTGGAGATGTTGCAGAGGTTGGAGATGTTATGGAGGTCGGAGATGTTGCGGAGGTTGGAGATGTTGCGGAGGTTGGAGATGTTGTGGAGGTTGGAGATGTTATGGAGGTCGAAGATGTTGCGGAGGTTGGAGATGTTGCGGAGGTCGAAGATGTTGCGGAGGTTGGAGATGTAGCGGAGGTTGGAGATGTTGCGGAGGTTGGAGATGTTGCGGAGGTGAAGTCTACAAGATTTGGACAGTGATTGGACACCTAGTACCCTGGCATGAGGGGAGGGACTGATGGTTGTGTTATTGATCTTGATGGAGAAGTCGGGGGGTGGGGTCACAGGCTGGAGGGAATACTAAGAGCTCAGTTTTGGAAAGATTGAGTTTGAGGAAGTGGAGTGACATTCATGCCATTTCATTTATTGCTGCATTTAAAGGTACGCTTTGGCCAAGGAGAACATTTTGAAGTACTTTCGGAAACACGGCCTGACTGTCCGGGCCGTCTGCTTCTCATCCAGACCTAACTATCATGTTTCTGGGCCACCACTCGAAAAATTAAATTCCTGCAAATGGCAACGCCTATTACTTACCTCTCTTGCAGGTCCTCACTTCTCTCTCTTCTCTCTCTTCTTCTACGACCACCAACAGAACCTTCAGATTAGAGATTTCCAGGAACGTCAGGTACCTGGTTCCCCGTTGTGTGTTGTGGTCCCTCCTATACCACTAGGGCCTGTTTACACTTGCTTCAAAATGTGGCGTTGGACACACTTTTAAAGCACTCTGAATGCCTATCAAAGCCCCCGTGGCCCTGTGAATGTCCTGTTCACACATTGCGCTTGCTGTGCTTCAAAAATTATACTCCATGTCACTTTCTTGGTTCTTCAAAGTGTCTCCAGAGCCTCCATAGAAGTCTGTGAAAACTCTCGCTAACAGCACCTGAATTTTGTGAGGAGCTTTTATTCAGCTTTGTTTTGGAGGTATTGGAGGTAGGAGATACTCCAGGATCTCTTGGAGACCAACCAGCAAACCATAAAGACGTCAGCAGTAACTTGTGGTTCATGTGTATATATTCTGGGAGTGTCTGGTGCAGATGTCACATCTGGTGTGCAGTGAGGAGCAGCGGGAAGGTGAGTCTGGACTGGAGCGAAGCAACTAACAGACGGCACACCTGGTGTGCAGCATGGGGGCACTATGGAAGAAGATGAGCGAGGATCTGAGAGAGAGGAGGATCAGCAAACCAGAGGATCGGGAGACCTGGGGATGATTACTGAGTGGGGGATGATCAGCAAAGCTGGGGGTTACTACTAAGTGGGGGAGGATCAGCAGAGCTGGTGATATGACTGAGTGGGGGATGATCAGCAAAGCTGGGGGTTACTACTAAGTGGGGGAGGATCAGCAGAGCTGGGGATACTACTGAGTGGGGGATCAGCAGAGCTGAGAGTTACTACAGAGCTGGAGATCAGCAAAGCTGGGGGTATGACTGAGTGGGGGATCAGCAGAGCAGGAGGAGGTTACAAAAGAGTGGGGGATCAGCAAAGCTGGGGATACTACTGAGTGGGGAATCAGCAGAGCTGGGGGTTACTACAGAGTGGGGGATCAGCAAAGCTGGGGCTTACTACTGAGTGGGAGATCAGCAGAGCTGGGGGTTACTACTGAGTGGGGGATCAGCAGAGCTGGGGGTTACTACTGAGTGGGGGATCAGCAGAGCTGGGGGTTACTACTGAGTGGGGGTAAGTATCAGGAGTCTTCTTTTTCCAAGTGATAGATTTACTTTGCACTGTGCAGCACCACCTTGGCACATGGTCATATTTCTTGCACCTTCACCAATGCCAGGAGTCGAGGAGAATATCTGGCATTTCTGGCGTATATAGTGAATGCGGGGTCCGGGGAGAGCGGATGTAGTGAATGCGGGGTCCGGGGAGAGCGGATGTAGTGAATGCGGGGTCGGGGGAGAGCGGATATAGTGAATGCGGGGTCCGGGGAGAGCGGATATAGTGAATGCGGGGTCCGGGGAGAGCGGATGTAGTGAATGCGGAGTCCGAGGAGAGCGGATGTAGTGAATGCGGGGTCCGGGGAGAGCGGATGTAGTGAATGCGGGGTCCGGGGAGAGCGGATATAGTGAATGCGGGGTCCGGGGAGAGCGGATATAGTGAATGCGGGGTCCGGGGAGAGCGGATATAGTGAATGCGGGGTCCGGGGAGAGCGGATATAGGGAATGCGGGGTCCGGGGGGAGGGGGATATAGTGAATGCGGGGTCCGGGGGGAGAGCGGATATAGTGAATACGGGGTCCGGGGAGAGCGGATATAGTGAATGCGGGGTCCGGGGAGAGCGGATATAGTGAATGAGGGGTTCGGGGAGAGCGGATACAGTGAATGCGGGGTCCGGGGAGAGCGGATATAGTGAATGCGGGGTCCGGGGGGAGAGCGGATATAGGGAATGCGGGGTCCGGGGGGAGGGGATATAGTGAATGCGGGGTCCGGGGGAGAGCGGATATAGTGAATACGGGGTCCGGGGAGAGCGGATAGAGTGAATGCGGGGTCCGGGGAGAGCGGATATAGTGAATGAGGGGTTCGGGGAGAGCGGATACAGTGAATGCGGGGTCCGGGGAGAGCGGATATAGTGAATGCGGGGTCCGGGGAGAGAGGATACAGTGAATGCGGGGTCCGGGGGGAGAGCGGATACAGTGAATGCGGGGTCCGGGGAGAGCGGATATAGTGAATGCGGGGTCCGGGGAGAGCGGATGTAGTGAACGCGGGGTCCGGGGAGAGCGGATATAGTGAACGCGGGGTCCGGGGAGAGCGGATATAGTGAATGCGGGGTCCGGGGAGAGAGGATACAGTGAATGCGGGGTCCGGGGAGAGCGGATACAGTGAATGCGGGGTCCGGGGAGAGCGGATATAGTGAATGCGGGGTCCGGGGAGAGCGGATACAGTGAATGCGGGGCCCGGGGAGAGCGGATATAGTGAATGCGGGGTCCGGGGAGAGCGGATATAGTGAATGCGGGGTCCGGGGAGAGCGGATGTAGTGAACGCGGGGTCCGGGGGGAGAGCGGATATAGTGAACGCGGGGTCCGGGGAGAGCGGATATAGTGAATCCGGGGTCCGGGGAGAGAGGATACAGTGAATGCGGGGTCCGGCGAGAGAGGATACAGTGAATGCGGGGTCCGGCAAGAGCGGATACAGTGAATGCGGGGTCCGGGGAGAGCGGATACAGTGAATGCGGGGTCCGGGGAGAGCGGATGTAGGGAATGCGGGGTCCGGGGAGAAGGGGATGTAGTGAATGCGGGGTCCGGGGAGAGCGGATGTAGGGAATGCAGGGTCCGGGGAGAGCGGATGTAGTGAATGCGGGGTCCGGGGAGAGCGGATATAGTGAATGCAGGGTCCGGGGAGAGCGGATATAGTGAACGCGGGGTCCGGGGAGAGCGGATATAGTGAACGCGGGGTCCGGGGAGAGCGGATATAGTGAACGCGGGGTCCGGGGAGAGCGGATATAGTGAACGCGGGGTCCGAGGAGAGCGGATATAGTGAACGCGGGGTCCGAGGAGAGCGGATATAGTGAACGCGGGGTCCGGGGGGAGAGCGGATATAGTGAACGGGGGGTCCGGGGAGGGCGGGATATAGTGAATGCGGGGTCCGGGGGGAGAGCGGATATAGTGAATGCGGGGTCCTGGGAGAGCGGATATAGTGAATGCGGGGTCTGGGGAGAGCGGATATAGTGAATGCGGGGTCCGGGGAGAGCGGATATAGTGAATGCGGGGTCCGGGGAGAGCGGATATAGTGAATGCGGGGTCCGGGGAGAGCGGATATAGTGAATGCACCCCCTCTCTCTCACCCACCCTCTCTCCCTTCCCCTCATATAGGATATGCTGCAGTAGAGATATACTGGACATTCACCTTCTTTTCAGCGGAGCTGCAATAACCAGATTCGGCCCACGGAGGCTCCTGGAGGCGTGGTTTTGGACACCTTCAGGCACCTGACAGGTCAATGGATGGCCACCTTGGAAGGTGTTCAGTGGCCAGCAATGCCAATGGGAATCTCCATGATCTTAATCTGCAGACAAGAACTGGGCATTGGTTTGCTGATGGGCCCTGCTGGACATATGTGGAGGATGGCTGCTAAAACGCATGAATGCATGTAATGCGGGCAGTGCAATATGTAGGTGGGGCTTTTTATGGGTGTGGTTTGAATGTGGGCGAGGACACAGGGGCCCCATGATCCCCTATTGCCTGGGGGCCCCATGAGTTGTCAGTCGGCCCCTGACCCAGTCATTGTTTATGAACATCATGTGAGCGCCAATTGCAGCAGTCACAGTGATGGGGAAGCCCACCTCTGCCTCTGGGCGATAAGTGCCTTTAGAGGATCCAGAAACCCTCGCAGTGCCGCTCTAAGCTGAGATGAAGATCTCCTGACCGGTTGCAGTGAAGGAAGATGGCGGCTGTGCACCATTCGGGGTTGTAGAAGCCTCATCAGAGAAAAGAAGGAGCACCATTCACCGACCCAGTGCATGAATATGTGGATGAGTGTGGCCTCAGCCAGTACCGGTCCAGCCCCCTCAGCAAGAGATCAATGTTCTATCAGCCTTGCCTCTACATATCATTTGTTTATAATCAATGGCCTGCAAACAGAGGATGCAATGACCACACCTTGGATTGGGCCCCCATTGTAGGGACCCTGGACTGGAGTCCACCTCCATCCAAGGCTAAAGTTCAGAATGATGCCAGCAGAGGTGAGAGATAACTGGAGCTCATTTATGGAAGAGGTGTGTAGAAAATCATGGGGCCAACACATGGCCCAGCGATGCTTCTCCTTTGGTCATGTGACCTCAGTACCCCCCCATTTCTTTGTATGGTTGGGTTTTATCCCCGGGCAAAAAAGAGTAACGGAGGGGTTGCATGGGGAGATTCCGAAAAAGTGTCTTGATTGGGTCACATGCTCACCCAAATCCAGAAGAGAAGAGCCAACTCCATGGAGACATAGCTTGACCAGTCTGGTGTGGAGGAACTCAAGTGTCCTGCACAGATCTCTGACCTCAGCCCTACTGAACAACCTTTGTGGTGAATTGGAACATTGATTGTGAGCCAGGTCTTCTCATCCAAAATCAGTACCTGAACTTGAAAATGTTCCTTTGGCTGATTGGACATACTGTACATTTTCACAGACATACTCCAAACTTTTGTGGGTAGTCTTTCCAGAACAGCAAACTCCATGAAGACATGGCTTGATGTGGAGGAACCCAAGTGTTCTGCACAGATCTCTGACCTCAGCCCTAGTGAACAACCTTTGAGATGAATTGTAACGCTGACTGAGAGCCAGTTCTTCCCATTCAATATCAGTGCCTGACCTCACAAACGGGCACAAATTCCCAAAGAAACTCAAAAATTTGTGGAAAGTCTTTCCAGAAGAGAAGAGCCAACTTTATGAAGACATAGTTTGATGTGGAGGAACCCAAGTGTCCTGCACAGATCTCTGACCTCAGCCCTAGTGAACAACCTTTGAGATGAATTGTAACGCTGACTGAGAGCCAGTTCTTCCCATTCAATATCAGTGCCTGACCTCACAAACGGGCACAAATTCCCAAAGAAACTCAAAAATTTGTGGAAAGTCTTTCCAGAAGAGAAGAGCCAACTTTATGAAGACATAGTTTGATGTGGAGGAACCCAAGTGTCCTGCACAGATCTCTGACCTCAGCCCTACCGAACAACCTTTGAGATGAATTGGAACGCTGACTGAGAGCCAGGTCTTCCCATTCAATATCAGTGCCTGACCTCACAAATGGGCACAAATTCCCGAAGAAACTCCAAAATTTGTAGAAAGCCTTCAGAGAATAGTGGAAGATGTTACAGCTGCAAGGAGAAGGCAACTCCGTATGAATGGCCATGGGAGGAAAGAGAAACTCCATATAAATTTCCATGGCTTTGGCATGGGACAAGCACATCTTGGTGCGATGGTCAGATGCCTACTAATGTTTGGCTACATAGTTCCCTTTTAGTGATTTAAAAAGAACATCTACTGCTGGTCACCGATCGATGCAATTTGACGAACGATCGCCGACAGACGGCTGCAGAGGTTGGCTGATGGAGTACGGCAGTACAGTAGTTACATGTAACCTGACATGGCCCCATCATTCTTCCTGTCACATACACAAGAGGTCACCCTGCTGGGTTAAACAAATAACAGCCATTCCTTATGTACTGGAAGAGGATCCCGAAAACATTGTTCCAGTGACAGTGGAGAGGGAGAAGACACGATGGTGGTCGGGGAGGGAGAAGACGCGATGGTGGTCGGGGAGGGAGAAGGCACGATGGTGGTCGGGGAGGGAGAAGACACGATGGTGGTCGGGGAGGGAGAAGACGCGATGGTGGTCGGGGAGGGAGAAGGCACGATGGTGGTCGGGGAGGGAGAAGGCACGATGGTGGTCGGGGAGGGAGAAGGCACGATGGTGGTCGGGGAGGGAGAAGACACGATGGTGGTCGGGGAGGGAGAAGACACGATGGTGGTCGGGGAGGGAGAAGACACGATGGTGGTCGGGGAGGGAGAAGACACGATGGTGGTCGGGGAGGGAGAAGGCACGATGGTGGTCGGGGAGGGAGAAGGCACGATGGTGGTCGGGGAGGGAGAAGGCACGATGCTGGTCGGGGACCGATAGGAGGGAGAAGGCACGATGGTGGTCGAGGAGGGAGAAGGCACGATGGTGGTCGGGGAGGGAGAAGACACAATGGTGGTCGGGGAGGGAGAAGGCACGATGGTGGTCAGAGAGGGAGAAGACACGATGGTGGTCGGGGAGGGAGAAGGCACGATGGTGGTCGGGGAGGGAGAAGGCACGATGGTGGTCGGGGAGGGAGAAGGCACGATGGTGGTTGGGGAGGGAGAAGGCACGATGCTGGTCGGGGAGGGAGAAAGACACGATGGTGGTCGGGGAAGGAGAAGGCACGATGGTGGTCGGGGAGGGAGAAGACACGATGGTGCTCGGGGAGGGAGAAGACACGATGGTGGTCGGGGAGGGAGAAGGCATGATGGTGGTCGGGGAGGGAGAAGACACGATGGTGCTCGGGGAGGGAGAAGACACGATGGTGGTCGGGGAGGGAGAAGGCACGATGGTGGTCGGGGAGGGAGAAGACACGATGCTGGTCGGGGAGGGAGAAGATATGATGGTGGTCGGGGAGGGAGAAGATATGATGGTGGTCGGGGAGGGAGAAGATATGATGGTGGTCGGGGAGGGAGAAGGCACGATGGTGGTCGAGGAGGGAGAAGACACGATGGTGGTCGGGGAGGGAGAAGGCACGATGGTGGTCGGGGAGGGAGAAGACACGATGGTGGTCGGAGAGGGAGAAGGCACGATGGTGGTCGGGGAGGGAGAAGACACGATGGTGGTCGGGGAGGGAGAAGGCACGATGGTGGTCGGGGAGGGAGAAGGCACGATGGTGGTTGGGGAGGGAGAAGGCACGATGGTGGTCGGGGAGGGAGAAGGCACGATGGTGGTCGGGAAGGGAGAAGGCACGATGGTGGTCGGGGAGGGAGAAGGCACGATGGTGGTCGGGGAGGGAGAAGGCACGATGGTGGTCGGGGAGGGAGAAGATATGATGGTGGTCGGGGAGGGAGAAGACACGATGGTGGTCGGGGAGGGAGAAGATATGATGGTGGTCGGGGAGGGAGAAGGCACGATGGTGGTCGGGGAGGGAGAAGATATGATGGTGGTCGGGGAGGGAGAAGGCACGATGGTGGTCGGGGAGGGAGAAGATATGATGGTGGTCGGGGAGGGAGAAGACACGATGGTGGTCGGGGAGGGAGAAGACACAATGGTGGTCGGGGACGGCTCCATACTCCACAAACAGGGGCGGACTGACCATTTGGAAACCCGGGCACTGCCCGAGGGCCTGGGGTCAGTAGGGGGCCCCATGAGATGCCCCTGGTACCTTTTTCACAGGCTTTTTTGAGTTTGGGCAAGGACACAGGGGCCCCATGATCGCCTATTTCCTGGGGGCCCCATGAGTTGTCAGTCCTCCCCTGTCCACAAATCAAATCAATTTCTGCCAGGTAAAGATAATATGACGCCAACTGCAAGAAGTCTTCATGTATTCTATGGCGGGAGGGAGGAGCAAAGCTGGGAGATTTCTGCAATATTTCACCATTTTGGCCACATGCAGTGGAGATAATGGGAAGTCTACATTACAGCTGAGGTCCCCTGGTTCCCCCTCCCCCCTCATCAACATGCCGGTGACATTTTTTCAATAAAACTTTTCCATTTTCATGACATAACTTATTTTGGCTCGGTGACATCATCACTGACTCTCTGTGCTTTTCTATGCAATGCAAGCAGATCATGTCTGGTGGGAGGGATTGATAGAGTGCTGTATAGAGCTTCCTGTAAACATCACAGCCCTCTACAGAGGTACTCCTCCCAAGAGCCCTCAGTCCTGATGCAAGTAGTGGGAGGAGTTAGGCAGATATCAAAATGCCTTGATGAGTGGTGTGTCAGTCTGGAGGGGTGGGTGTTCCCAGGCAGGCTGTATTTGCATAGAAAACACCCACATGTGAGCCTCCATGATTGAAAGATGTAAAATCCAATGAAGGAATGGGACAGCCAGGCTAGATGATGCTGGACGTCCTCCAGCCAGGAAATGGGGCGGAGCTCTATCTGACTGGCTGCAGCTTCTAATGCACATTGTGAGAAGCTCCCAGTGTGCGGTGACATCAGAGGAAGCCATTCCAGTCCAGGGGAGGAGCTGGTACACCTGTGCAAGACTGAAGGGGAGGAGCCAGTACACCTGTGCTAGACTGAAGGGGAGGAGCCGATACACCTGTGCTAGACTGAAGGGGAGGAGCCAGTACACCTGTGCAAAAGTGAAGGGGAGGAGCCAGTACACCTGTGCAAAAGTGAAGAGGAGGAGCCAGTACCTGTGCAAGACTTAAGGGGAGGAGCCAGTACACCTGATCAAAACTGAAGGGAAGGCGCCGGTACACCCAGGGGCGGGACTGACCATTTGGTCATTCGGGCACTGCCCAAGGGCCCAGGATCAGTAGGGGGCCCTATGAGATGCCCCTGGTACCTTTCACAGGCTTTTTTGGGTGTGGTTTGAGTGTGGATGAGGACACAAGGGCCCCATGATCCCCTATTGCACAGGGGCCCAATGAGTTGTCAGTCCACCCCTGGGTACACCTGTGCAAGACTGAAGGGGAGGAGCCAATACACCTGTACAAGACTGAAGGGGAGGAGCCAGTACACTTGTGCAAGAATAAAGGGGAGGAGCCAGTACACCTGTGCAGGAGTGAAGGGGAGGAGTTGGTACACCTGTGCAAGACTGAAGGGGAGGAGCAGGGACACCTGTGTAAAACTGAAGGGGAGGAGCCAGTACACCTTTGAAAGACTGAAGGGGAGGAGCCGTCATGTGCCAGACTGAAGGGGAGGAGCCGGCACACCTGTGTAAGACCGAAGGGGAGGAGCTGGATCATCCCAGACAAAAGAGGAGGAGCCAGTACAACTGTGCAAGACTGAAGGGGAGGAGCCGATACACCTGTACAAGACTGAAGGGAAGGAGCTGGCACGTGCCAGACAAAAAAGGAGGAGCCGGTACACCTGTGCAAGACTGAAGGGGAGGAGTTGGTACACCTGTGCTAGACTAAAGGGGAGGAGCCTTTACACCTGTGCAAGACTGAAGGGGAGGAGCCAGTACACCTGTTCAAGACTGAAGGGGAGGGGCCAATATATCTGTGCAAGATTGAAGGGGTGGAGCCGGTACACCTTTGCAAGACTGGAGGGGCGGAGCCGGGGAGGATTTAGGGTGCGTTGAGGTGGTGTTTAGGGTGCAATGGGCTATAATGGCTTCTGAGGGTTATCGGAGCCCCTCCAAGCATCCTGGTCTTGTACTCTTCCATGGAATGGCCCCTCGTCAGTCTGATTATTTATCATAGAAAGAAAAAAAAAGAAAAATGAGAAAAATAATCACCAGGAAAATGAAATAAAACTTTTACAAACAGCCCCTCCCCCAAAGAAACACTCTCCTTAAATAAAGAAATAAGTTTTGTTTTAATCGATCTCCTTTGGAAAAAAATGGGAGTTTCTGTTTTTGGGAAAAAGCTGTTATTTTCCAACAACATTTTTCACATTTAATTTTTGGTGGAGAGAATTGTAGAGACGAAGAAAAGGAGGAAATATTATTATTCATTTTCTTTTTTCTTATAGGAAGCAAAAAAAAAAAATGTGATCAAAAAGATGGTAATTCTGATTGTAGCCGAAATGTGAATGGAAAAGAATTCCGGTGAAAAATATTGGAACGTAAAAATAATTATTCGTGTGATTTTGGCAAAACGGAAATACGTCCCGAAATCCAAAATGGAATATCTGTTATCCGGAATCAAACAATCCAAAAACAATTGGAAAGATTCCTCCAGATGCAAATGTCTACAGGCCCGCCCACAGGTCCGCCCACAGATCTGCCCACAGGCCCGCCTACAGGTCCGCCCACAGATCTGCCCACAGGTCCGCCCATGGGTCCACCCACAGATCCACCCACAGGTTTTCCCACAGGTCCTCCTACAGGTCCACCCACAGGTCTGCCCACAGGCCCGCCTACAGGTCCGCCCACAGATCTGCCCACAGGTCCGCCCATGGGTCCACCCACAGATCCACCCACAGGTTTTCCCACAGGCCCGCCTACAGGTCCACCCACAGGCCCCTTTACAGGTCCGCCCACAGGTCTGCCAAAGGCCCGCCTACAGGTCCGCCCACAGGTCCACCCACAGGCCCCACTACAGTTCCGCCTATAGGTCCACCAGGCCTAGGTCAGGGGTCTCCAAACTTTCTAAAGAAAGGACCAATAGTGCCCATCATTGGTGTCAGTGGGAGGAATAGTGCCCATCATTGGTGTCAGTGGGAGGAATAGTGCCCCATCATTGGTATCAGTGGGAGGAATAGTGCCCCATCATTGGTGTCAGTGGGTTGAATAGTGCCCCATCTTTGGTATCAGTGGGAGGAATAGTGCCCCATCATTGGTGTCAGTGGGAGGAATAGTGCCCCATCATTGGTGTCAGTGGGAGGAATAGTGCCCCATCATTGGTATCAGTGGGAGGAATAGTGTCCCATCATTGGTGTCAGTGGGAGGAATAGTGCCCCATCATTGGTGTCAGTGGGAGGAATAGTGCCCCATCATTGGTGTCAGTGGGAGGAATAGTGCCCCATCATTGGTGTCAGTGGGAGGAATAGCGCCCCATCATTGGTGTCAGTGGGAGGAATAGTGCCCCATCATTGGTATCAGTGGGAGGAATAGTGCCCCATCATTGGTGTCACTGGGAGGTATTGTGCCCCATCATTGGTGTCAGTGGGAGGAATAGTGCCCCATCATTGGTGTCAGTGGGAGGAATAGTGTCCCATCATTGGTGTCACTGGGAGGTATTGTGCCCTGAGGGACAGATAAAAGCAAGCTGAGGGCCGCAGTTTTGAGACCATTGGTCTAGGTGCCCCACAAGTGCGCTTGCCCCATCAGGATCCTTGCACCTTGGGGGAGAGGGGGAGGGGTCAGGGTAAGGTCCTACTTCTTCAGGAGGGGACTAGAGAACCACCCTTACAGTAACTGCACTTTTTTTTGTGTGCGTTTGTCAAGTGATTTTTTTCTGGTTGACAGGTTTTTCGGGTTTCTTGTCCCACCATGGAATGTGGTATCAATATGGGTGGGCACTCCTTGTATGGATGAAAGGACAGGACATGTTGTATGGAGGATACGGGGGAGGGGGGATACAAAAGTTCCGTTGGCTGCCTTTGCCTCCTAACGCCTCCCCGGTGACGCCGGCTTTGGTTGGTCGATGGGCAGGCCGCGGCTTTGTGAATACGAATCCCTCTCATCCCGGTGTTGCAGAATCGCACGCGTTGCACGGTGACGCCGGCTCTGGTTGGTTGATGATTAGGCTGCAGCTTTGTGAGTCCCTCTCGGCCATGCGTTGCATAATCGCACAAGTCGTACCGTGACGCCGGCTCTGGTTGGTCGATGGGCAGGCCGCGGCTTTGTGAGTCCCTCCCGGCCATGCGTTGCAGAGTCGTACACGTCGTATGGTGAAGCCGGCTCTGGTTGGTCGATGGACAGGCCGCGGCTTTGTGAATACGAGTCCCTCTCACCCTGGTGTTGCAGAATCGCACACGTCGCACGACGACGTCGACTCTGGTTGGTCGATGGGCAGGCCGTGGCTTTGTGAGTCCCTCTCAGCCATGCATTGCAGAGTCGCACACGTCGTACAGTGAAGCCGGCTCTGGTTGGTCGATGGGCAGGCCGGGGCTTTGTGAGTCCCTTTTGGCCATGCGTTGCAGAATCGCACACGTCGCACGGTGACGCCGGCTCTGGTTGGTCGATGGTCAGGCCGCGGCTTTGTGAGTCCCTCTCGGCCATGCGTTGCAGAATCGCACACGTCGCACGGTGAAGCCGGCTCTGGGTTGGTCGATGGGCAGGCCGGGGCTTTGTGATCCCTTTCGGCCATGCGTTGCAGAATCGCACACGTCGCACGGTGAAGCCGCTCTGGTTGGTCGATGGGCAGGCCGGGGCTTTGTGAGTCCCTCTCGGCCATGCGTTGCAGAGTTGCATACGTCGCACGGTGAAGCCGGTTCTGGTTGGTCGGTGGGCAGGCCGGGGCTTTGTGAGTCCCTCTCAGCCATGCATTGCAGAGTCGCACACGTCGTACAGTGAAGCCGGTTCTGGTTGGTCGATGGGCAGGTCGTGGCTTTGTGAGTCCCTTTCGGCCATGCGTTGCAGAATCGCACACGTCGCACGGTGAAGCCGGCTCTGGTGGTCGATGGGCAGGCCGGGGCTTTGTGAGTCCCTCTCGGCCATGCGTTGCAGAGACGCATACGTCGCACGGTGAAGCCGGTTTCTGGTTGGTCGGTGGGCAGGCCGGGGCTTTGTGAGTCCCTCTCGGCCATGCGTTGCAGAGACGCACACGTCGCATGGTGAAGCCGGTTCTGGTTGGTCTGTGGGCAGGCCGGGGCTTTGTGAGTCCCTCTCGGCCATGCGTTTGCAGAGTCGCACACGTCGCACGGTGAAGCCTTCCTCCTGCTATTGTTCAGGATTCTGGTGACCGAAGATGCCTGTGCAGGCAGTAATGGATACGGCGCTGTGCTGCCCACAGCTTCAACCGACTTCTATTTTTAGGCCACAAACCTCCAAAAACAACTTTCTAGGCCAAGCAGTAATTACACATTTGGACGCACATGCAGGCCGTCGCTAAAACTATCTTCCTCTAAAAACCGCACGGCGTAGAGCGCGACGGCATGCCGGGCCAAAATAGAACGGATCAACCCACACGTTCAGCTGTCATGGCGGCTCTCCCCACCTCGGCTGCACTCAGCGCGCAGGGGGTGACGGTGTATGTCGCTGCCCACGACATGCGACTACCAGTGACCATCTCCACACATCGTGGTGCCCACCAGAGAAGTTCTCTGTGACTGGAAAGACCGAATGAAAGTTTGCTGTACTTTTATATCGACTCAAAGTGTAATTCCTCTATTTGCAAGTCAATCGATGTCTTCCCATCCACACACAGCAAACCTGAACCGAGGGAAACGTAACAATTATTCATTGAGTTGCCTTTCACAACATGTTTCTATGGAGAAGGTTTCGTGGCTGATTGTAAGCATTTATGGAGCTCCAATGATGAAGATGGGAGGAGAGAAGCCCCCGAAACACATTATCCCCCCTTAGGTATTATACATGGAGATCATATCCCCCCTTATGTATTATAACATGGAGATCATATCCCCCTTATGTATTATACATGGAGATCATATCCCCCCCTTATGTATTATACATGGAGATCATATCCCCCTTATGTATTATACATGGGAGATCATATCCCCCCTTATGTATTTATACATGGAGATCATATGCCCCCCCTTAATGTATTATACATGTGAGATCATATCCCCCCCTTTATGT